AATATTGAAATAAAAGCTTAAAAATCAATGCCATGTCTAATTTGGCTAAGCACTAATTTCCTTATTATTTAATAATTAGCCCTGTCAAGATCTCCTCTCCGAGAGCTGACGTGTGCAATTAGGCCTTGCCTGGGATAGTCAGTTGTGCCAGCATCCTCGGAGAACACGGATGGCCTCATCGTGAGGGGAGCCCTGTTGCAGGTGACGAAGGAGGCAGGGAAACGAATACCCATCGGCCACTCACTAGGCCGTTATCTACTACCAGATGCCGTGCTCAGTGCCTTGCTCGCCTCGCCCCCTTCAGGCCTCCCGGGAGGGCTATGAGAAACCACGGCCCTGTTTCACAGACATCAGAGCTGACTCTCAGAGGTGCTGGCCCGAAGGCGCACAGCTAGAAGATGGCTGGGGCGGGGCTGAGACCAACACTCGGTTACTGAACTGCCCCGCTGCACTATCTTTGCCCTAGACTGCTCCCCAAAGGCTAGTGGATGCATGTGTGTGAACTGGCTGGAGCGAACTAAAGGCACTCAGTGCTTCCATAGCCTTAATTTTGGCCTTTAAGCGGGGAGACAAGTGTTGTGGGCTCTCCAAAGGAACATATGGGAAGAAACGTTTCATTGCTAAATTAGGCAACACTAATTATAAACAACTAGTGGCGGTTCCCTATAATTGTTCATGGCACCATGTCTTTCCACACCCCTGGGGCTTCCCAGGCTCTGTTCCCACTGCCTCCAATGCCTTCCCCTGTCTCCTGCCTTCCTGATTGTCTCAGACAAGCGTGCCTGCTCCCCCGAAAGTCAGGAAAATCTTTTTCCAAATCCATTTTCATTTGGCCTCTTTGCTTTCTTAAGAAAGTTCAGTAGCTCCCTCTCGCTTCTAGAATAAAACATATGTCTGTCAGATGTGGAGCTATAGGGGGTGAGGAACACATATCAGCCGCTCAGTCGGCCTCCTTCTAACTGAGGCCAACGGGAGGGAGGCAGGTGGTAGGAGTCACAGATGTGTTGCCAGAATGGCCCCAACCCACCACTCTTCTGAGTCCGTGCCCTTGACAATGTGCCTTTCTTGCTCCTTCCATGAAGAGGTGAAGCCTGTTTCCCACCTCCCTTGAATCTGGCTGGACTTGTGACCTGCTGTGGCCAAAACAAGGTGGTAGAAATGGGGAGCTTACCCCTCAGCTTGAGACCCTGCCTAGGCGCGTGTGGACAAGCCTGGGTAAGCCTATTAAGTGACGAAACCCATGCAGCCACTACCCCAGGTCCCCCAGCTGACAGCCACCCATCCTCCAGACATGTGAAAGAGGGCATCCTATCAACTGGCTCCCAGCCACCCTGCAGGCTGACCGTGGATGCATGGGTGAGCCCAGCCACAAACCCGAGCCTGGTCCAGGTCAACAGAACTGCCTAGCTGACTCTATTAACTTTTGGGACGATTTGTTATGTGACATTATTTGGCGATCGATAACTCATACATAAACAGACAAGGCTACAGGGACAACCCATGCTTAACTTATGGGGGATTGGGGTTCAAAGCTGGACTCTCATGATGACTGGGGCTTCCCCAAAGAACTGCAGCGGCTGTAGAGGTATTCAAGTGAACACCTGAGGTGCGGCCCCGACCCTGGGGATCTCCAAAGAGACAGCCCAGGCACACCCCTCCTT